GCTTCTCCCGCCAGGTACCAGCGGGATCGGGGTGTCCCGGCGCAGGCACCGGCCCGCTAGTAAGCGCTGGCTGCCTTTGCAAGCAGGGAACCCCGTGCAGGCATCCGCAGGGGTTCAGTCCCCATAGGGGAGCGCTCAGGGCGTGCAGGAGCAGGGGCCTGGGGAGAGCATGGGCAGCACCAGGCTGCCCGTCCTCTCCTGCCTTGAAAAAAACAACGGCCTCCTGCGCCCCAGCAAAATAGCAGGGCATATTTATGCTGCCTTGTTGCTGCTGCAGGTGCACGGCCGCAAAGGGCCTGGACCTCTGCTTTCCCTTTGTGCCTCCACAAAACTGCAAAGGTGGCATGTGTTGGCAGCCTAATACGTGCACGGTTTGAGGGCTGCGGTAACTGCTGGGTGCTGCTGTTTTGCAACTCTTTTCATCGCGCACACAGATCCAGGCGGCGGCCAAGGGACAGGGGTGATTTTATTGTGAAATGTAGGATGCGCCCGACCTGAACAATTAGCTTCTGTGTGCCATAGTTATTCCTACAAGGATCAAGTTTGTGAAGCCGGTGCGGTGTCACCTTGTGCCCACCTGGGCCGTTGCCCGTAGTGCTTACCTTGTATCCCTGAGGGCTGCGCGCTTGATTCATTCATCACCACAAGGGCAGGGCAGGACAGGGCAGATAAAGCTTTTGACACTTGAATGTTTTCTATAGTCTTTTTGCAACTTGGGCAACTTGTTGGGCAGCAGCAGCAGCTGTTTTGGGACGGGTTGGCCATAGGGCAGGGGTGGGCAATTAATTGGGCTAGAGAGCCATTTAACAAGTTGTGGTGAGCTGTTGAGGGCTGTGCGCGCACGCGCACACACACACACACACACACACACACACACGCGCACGCACACACACGCGCACACACACTCTCTCTCTCTCTCTCTCTCTCTCTCTCTCCTGGCCCCAGCCTGCCCTCCCACCCCCTTACCTGGAGCCATCACCATCTGGTGCTTGGGGTGAGGAAAGGGGGTTGGAGCCTGGCCAAGGGGCTCTGCACTGTCCTGCCCCACCATCAGGACTCCTGGCACATGTGCAGACACCCCGCCATCGCTACCCCACAGCTCCCAGGAGCCCTGATGGCAAGGCAGGATGGGACAGAGCAGAGACCCGCAGCCAGGCTCCATCCCCAGCTCAGGGCCCTGGCAGCCGCTAGGCGGAAGCAGCCCTGCCCACCTAGCATTGTGTAGCATGGCTCATCCAGGGCCTACTTCACAGTGCTGGGTGGGCCAGGCTACTTTTGCCCAGCGTCCCCTGCAGCACCTGGGAAATGCAGTCCAGCCCTGCAGGCCCTGGACACCACCTGTCAGCAGAGGCCAGGGACCAAGCATGGCTGCCCTAGGGCCTGCAGGGCTGGATTGCATCTCGCAAGTGGTGTAAGAAACACTGGGCAGAAGCAGCCTCACCCATCCGCCCAGCACCATGTGACAGGCCCTAGATGAACTGTGCTTGGGCCCCCACTGCTGGCAAGAAGCGTGGGTGGCAGCTCCAGCTTTGGCCTCTTCTGGCAGTGCCAGGTGGGTGGGTGGAGTTGCTTCTTCCCAATGCCCCCCATGACACCTTCAGAGGCCAGAGCCATTTCCGGTGTTGCCTGCCGGCAGAGGAAGGGGCCCAAGTACAGCTTACCCAGGGCCTGCTGTGCGCTGCTGATGCCTGCGCTGCCCACCCATGGGCCAGATAAAATCAATTTGCAGGCTGGATCTGGCCTGCAGGCTGTATTTTGTGCCCCTTCCCCCCCCCAAGCAGGCTGCCAGTCGCCTTCCTTATGATGTTGGATTTGATTATCTTTTTTGAGAATGTTTGCTACCAATGGTGAGCCTATAAGGCTGCTCAGTAAACATGCTGCAGCAGGTGCAATAATTTCTGTTCTTTTTTATGTACAAAGAACCCTTGTTTGGCAACATTTATATTTATGACATCCCACAGTTTGAGATTGAAAAAATCGAACTTTTTTTTAAGGGCTTAATCAGCAACTGCATGCATCTTGTTCATTAGATTTAGGCATGCACCCAGGACGTCATCAAATACCGTATTTACTCGAATAAAAAATTACCCCGATTAAGACAAGCCCCCTAGTAATAGATTTTATATAAAGGAAATTTATACATTTTCTATAATTTTCCAGGTATAGGATCTAATTATTGGAGGTTTGCCTTGAATTTGTCAACCTCCCACTGCTGCAGCAGGGAAAACAAATCTGGTGGGTAAGGTAGCCCATTTGCCCTCTGACAACTTCTTCCCTTTGCAGCACCTTTCTACCCTTCTTACTGTCACACCCTGCTTGCCCTGAGCACATGGAAGCAAGGCGCACATTTGAAAACACTGAACTTGAAAAAAAGGAGCTGTAGTAATTTGCATCTAGTACCCATAGACAGTTCATCCAGAAATAATTCATTTTACCTTTTTTTTTTTTTTTTTTTTAAACTGCTGCAAATTTTAGGACAGGTACTCCATAAACATACTTTTAAGGATAATTTTAGCATCTGCTTCAATGTAATACAAACTTTTAGGTTTTTTTGCATACACACACACTCCCCTCCCCTTTTCACACTCCCCAATACCCTTCTGTTTTTCCTCAAAGTCCTTACTCCATGTTGTCTTCATTGCTCTCTTCTTCCCTGTCATCCTTGTCTCTCACCCCCACTTCATCACTGTCATCATCCTCTTCCTCATCATTGTTGTTTTCTCTGGGAACTCCACTCCTGAACACTGTCCCAATCTCTTCTCTTCCATGTGATCTCTGCTGTTTTCTCCCGGTGTGTGTGTGTGTATATACATGTGTGTGTGTGTGTGTGTGTGTATATATATATATAGGGGTGTGTGTGTGTGTGTGTATATAGGGGGGTGTGTGTGTGTGTATATAGGGGGTGTGTGTGTGTATATACGTGTGTGTGTATACGTGTGTGTGTATATATAGATAGATGTGTGTGTGTGTATAGATAGATTGTGTGTGTATATATATATAGATTGTGTGTGTGTGTGTATATATATAGATGTGTGTATGTGTGTGTGTATACACACACACATCTCTCTCTGTATATATAAAATATATATATAGAGATGTGTGTGTATAGATGTAATTATATATTAATATATGTAGTGCGCAGGTTTGTTATTACCCTGAAATAGAATAGTTTTCTGATAAGCATACTGTTAGATTTACAATAATTTAGATTATTAAGAAATATTAGCTTTACAGCTGAATACAAGGCATGACCTGGGCCTAGCAATGCAGCTGACCACAAGGCAGATTGATAGCTAAGCCTTTGCTTGTGTCAAGTAATCATTTTAACTGTATTAAGCATTTTCTGAGTTAAAAAGTGGATCTGTGTCTGTGTGCTGAAAAATCAGCTACAGCAAGAAGTAAGATAAGACAGGGAAACCATTGTTCTGGGTGCAGTGGTTGTGTCCTTGAGAAGTATCTACTACTGTGTAAGGTTTTGCTAACATATTATAATGTTACTGTTACTTAACTTTTAGCTTTTAAAA